GACCTGTTTTTAATATTAGGAACTTTAGAAGAAGGAAATTCTACAGTAAAATCTGTTTGGAAAACAAGTGTTTGTTTTACAAAAAAGGCTTTGAAGTTTTAATAAACCAAAAACAAAATATGTTTTTATCACAATGAACTTGGAACTTTTCTAAACATAGAGCAGAAGTGTAAGAAAAGGGGGGAGAGAGATATTTACATGTCAATGAGATTTGCCAATAGCCAATGGCTAGTTTATTCACTGTGTATACAGGAGATCCAGATTCAAGTTTATCCTGATTACCAGAAGGGAGTTATACATAAGCTTCCACATCTGCCTGCAGCTCCAAGCTACTGGCTACACCTCAGCTAGAATTTTTCCACAAAAAGCTTTGGTTTCAATTAGTCAGTGTTTTCTGATTAAAAATGCCATCCAAAAATTCCTACCTATTTCATCTGGATGCTCACTTAAAGAGAAAAAGGGTAAAAAGAGATAGAAAGAAACCATTCTAACACGTCTGTATCGTGCTTCCAGGTACCCGTATTTAGATGTGCTTTCTAAATATAAATCATTCAGTGCAATAAAGGTGTTACTGGCAGTGATAAAGCTTATATGAACTTTATTAAATAAAGCAGATTAGATTCAGAATTGAAGTAACACTCTAAATTTAGGATTCTTATTCCTTATTACCTTTTTAGTAAACAATTCTCAGAAGCCTTATGTGAAAATATTGATATTATTAACTGTACGACCAAAAATAATAAATGGTAAGAGCAAAATCTTTTCATCTATTACTCTTTTTTTTTTTTTTACCTTAGCCCCATCTTTTCCCGGTTCTCCCTTGATACCTGGTAAGCCACGTGGTCCCTAAGAGAGAAAAAATGAAAACCAGCTCAAATACTAATACAATCTGATAGAGAATGAGACACAGAAATGTAATACAACATGACCCAGGGACTGATGTGTCAGCTGGCTGATCACAACATTTTGGTAACTGGATACAAAAGCAGAACCAAGCATGAAATGTATCCAGCATGTATGAATATGGCACACTATCATAACCCGTGACTGAGGAACACCAAAACAATTCTTCGCTCTAACCAAGGACCACCCCAGGAAAAAAGGACGTCACTCAGCCAGTACTGGTCCAGAGATGTCCCCTTCCTTTCAAAATGTCCATCAGACAGCCTTCACATATGTCATGTTGCAGGCTCAGGCTCCCTCTTGGCCCCAGCATGCTCTCAGATATTTAATTCAACAAATTAGTAAGTCCTCGACTATCCAGCCAGACTGGATCATGACACAGGTAAAATACAGCACTGGTTTCCAATAACTGTCCCAGTAAGGGCTACTAAATTCATACAATGAAGAAAGAAAAAGAATTCTCCTTCATCAGTCTGGGCTTTATCTGAAACCTTCTTTTGGACATGTGAATTGTGGGTAATCAATCACCATGACAAGGTTTCAGATCACTATTACTGATTCACAGAAAAATGGAAGGAACTACTGTTTGGCTTCTCGATCAGGATCAAAATGTCTAAGCCCCAGCTGAGTCCTGCTCCTACAGGCCTTACCTAGCAATGATTAGATTTGCAGTCTAACTGTCAGCCTACCTACAAACACCAAAGCCACGTGAGCTCCGAAGCAATTCACCCAAGGATGGCCCCTGACTTCATGCCATCCCTCGAGCCGTTTTCATTCCCCACACCTCAACTCTCAATGACAAACAATGGATATTGGGAGAGAGTTGGCAGGATTTGTCTCAGATTTTCAAATTCTAGGAATGAAACAGAAACTTACTTGAACCCCTGGAG